GTTTTTAGTTGATGATTTCTTGTTCACTAGGAATAATGTCACACATAAGTGTTTATTCTAAACAATCAACATTGTTAGAGGACTGACGGTAGTTTTAATAAATGTTTATCAAGGTGACTTTCTGCCAAATTGAAGGTCACAAATTCTAATACAGATTTAAATACCCATTCAGACTTTTCAATTGCTTTACCTATCACTATTGGTTAGTCTTTCTTACAAAAGTACATGTAATCTTTTTCACCTCATTTCCATTTGGGCACAAGACCACACAGAGATTGATGTTGAATAGTAATGTGTTAGATGATAGTTTTATGGAGGGTTTAAATTTTGGTATAACAATATGCTTCAGATATCTAAGAAAAAGAATCCTTGGATGTACTTGAATTGTTCTGATAGGATATAGTGATGTCTATTGATGTGAGAGGTTATAGTGAGGTCTATTGATGTGAGAGGTTATAGTGTGGTCTATTGATGTGAGAGGTTATAGTGATGTGTAGGGATGTGAGAGGTTATAGTGATGTGTAGGGATGTGAGAGGTTATAGTGATGTGTAGGGATGTGAGAGGTCATAGTGATGTGTAGGGATGTGAGAGATTATAGTGAGGTCTATTGATGTGAGAGGTTATAGTGATGTGTATTGATGTGAGAGGTTATAGTGATGTGTAGGGATGTGAGAGGTTATAGTGATGTGTAGGGATGTGATGTGTAGGGATGTGAGAGGTTATAGTGATGTGTAGAGGTTATAGTGATGTGTATTGATGTGAGAGGTTATAGTGATGTGTAGGGATGTGAGAGGTTATAGTGATGTGTAGGGATGTGAGAGGTTATAGTGATGTGTAGGGATATGAGAGGTTATAGTGATGTGTAGAGATGTGATAGTGAGGTCTATTGATGTGAGAGGTCATAGTGATGTGTAGGGATGTGAGAGGTCATAGTGATGTGTAGGGATGTGAGAGGTTATAGTGATGTGTAGGGATGTGAGAGGTTATAGTGATGTGTAGGGATGTGAGAGGTTATAGTGATGTGTAGGGATGTGAGAGGTTATAGTGATGTGTAGGGATGTGAGAGGTTATAGTGATGTGTAGGGATGTGAGAGGTTATAGTGATGTGTAGGGATGTGAGAGGTTATAGTGATGTGTAGGGATGTGAGAGGTTATAGTGATGTGTAGGGATGTGAGAGGTTATAGTGATGTGTAGTGATGTGAGAGGTTATAGTGATGTGTAGGGATGTGAGAGGTTATAGTGATGTGTAGGGATGTGAGAGGTTAGGTCTATTGATGTGAGAGGTTATAGTGATGTGTAGGGATGTGAGAGGTTATAGTGATGTGTAGGGATGTGAGAGGTTATAGTGATGTGTAGGGATGTGAGAGGTTATAGTGATGTGTAGGGATGTGAGAGGTTATAGTGATGTGTAGGGATGTGAGAGGTTATAGTGATGTGTAGGGATGTGAGAGGTTATAGTGATGTGTAGGGATGTGAGAGGTAATAGTGATGTGTAGTGATGTGAGAGGTTATAGTGATGTGTAGGGATGTGAGAGGTTATAGTGATGTGATGTGTGAGAGGTTATAGTGATGAGGTTATAGTGATATAGTGATGTGTAGAGGTTATGTGAGAGGTTATATAGTGATGTGTAGGGATGTGAGAGGTTATAGTGATGTGTAGGGATGTGAGAGGTTATAGTGATGTGAAGGGATATGAGAGGTTATAGTGATGTGTAGGGATGTGAGAGGTCATAGTGATGTGTAGGGATGTGAGAGGTTATAGTGATGTGTAGGGATGTGAGAGGTTATAGTGATGTGTAGGGATGTGAGAGGTTATAGTGATGTGTAGGGATGTGAGAGGTTATAGTGATGTGTAGGGATATGAGAGGTTATAGTGATGTGTAGGGATGTGAGAGGTTATAGTGATGTGTAGGGATATGAGAGGTTATAGTGATGTGTAGGGATGTGAGAGGTTATAGTGATGTGTAGGGATGTGAGAGGTTATAGTGATGTCTATTGATGTGAGAGGTCATAGTGATGTGTAGGGATGTGAGAGGTCATAGTGATGTGTAGGGATGTGAGAGGTTATATTGATGTCTAGGGATGTGACCCAGTATTGTTATATGTAGAAATGCTATATAGTATTGCAGAATCATAAGAGGTATACCAAGATTTATTGATTACTCAGGGCTTAATATGGAATTTACATATCATTTAAACAATTAACAGTTGTATGTGTTTGTCAAAACATGTAGCATATATGTTTTAGGTGTAATTTGATAATTAAATATTTATGGAGATGAGACCAATAGATCGTTGTATGTGAGTGCTAATTGAACAGTAAGTGGTTCCCATCAGCAGCAACATGTCACAGGATCATTGATTTACAAGTGCTTGTTTTCCTGATAAACAACTTCAAGTGATGCTTTATGAAGAGTTAAAATTACAGAATGCCAATTTGATAATTTTCAGTGTTTTGAACTACTTATGACTTAATAGTGTTTATTGGACAAAGTAATGAGGTTTAATGACTGCAGTGATGTCGGTTAATTCTGATTGATCTTATAACTATCATGTTACCTGTGTGATAATACCCATTATTTAAAGTTTGGATATGACACACCTGTAATATGATCAAGTAGGGCTGGGTTTGTTTGAAGGGTCCATTGTTTCATGGTGATGTTGTAACTTCTCAGTTCCATGCATTGTGACATCATCAAAGAAAGAAATATTGAGTAAAATTATCACCATATTAATTTTGACCAGTCTTAGGAAAAGTTATTTTCATCATTATCGATACTTACAAAAGAATTGAAAGAATGTCATAAATGTTTATTTAAACATTATCACAAAGTTCATATGAAGGTCATTATTTAAATTTCAACCAATGAAAATGTTCCTACCATGTTGGTCACATGGGAGAGGAGATAGGTTTATCACCATGGCTGTTTACCTGAGGTAGCTGGTCAAAAAATGTTTGTCTTGAAGAGTTTTAAGAAAAATCCTGCACATGCATACAACTTACAAAGTTTTGTACCTGTTTCCTTGGTATATAAAACAGATGGAAACAATGAGATATCAAATATTTATAATTTAGAAAAAAAAGGTACAATACTCTGGAAAGTAGTATTTCAGGCTTTCAGCAGGGATCAATTTGAGGCTTTATAATTCCTTTTGCAGCATTAATTATCAGATTTGTTCTAATTAACATGGATTGGTCTTATCCACAGTCCTATTCATGTATTGTTTCCTTACATTACAGACCTGCTTCTAACAAAAAGTACATTACAGACCTACTTCTGACAGAGAGTACATTACAGACCTACTTCTGACAGAGTACATTACAGACCTGCTTCTGACAGAGTACATTACAGACCTGCTTCTGACAGAGTACATTACAGACCTGCTTCTAACAGAGTACAGTACAGACCTGCTTCTGACAGAGTACATTACAGACCTGCTTCTGACAGAGAGTACACTACAGACCTGCTTCTGACAGAGAGTACACTACAGACCTGCTTCTGACAGAGTACATTACAGACCTGCTTCTGACAGAGTACATTACAGACCTGCTTCTGACACAAAGTACATTACAGACCTACTTCTGACAGAGTACATTACAGACCTGCTTCTGACACAAAGTACATTACAGACCTGCTTCTGACAGAGTACATTACAGACCTGCTTCTGACAGAGTACATTACAGACCTGCTTCTAACAGAGTACAGTACAGACCTGCTTCTGACAGAGTACATTACAGACCTGCTTCTGACAGAGAGTACATTACAGACCTGCTTCTGACAGAGTACATTACAGACCTGCTTCTGACAAAAAGTACATTACAGACCTGCTTCTGACAGAGTACATTACAGACCTGCTTCTGACACAAAGTACATTACAGACCTGCTTCTGACAGAGAGGACAATACAGACCTGCTTCTGACAGAAAGTACATTACAGACCTGCTTCTGACAGAAAGTACATTACAGACCTGCTTCTGACAGAGAGGACAATACAGACCTGCTTCTGACAGAAAGTACATTACAGACCTGCTTCTGACAGAAAGTACATTACAGACCTGCTTCTGACAGAAAGTACATTACAGACCTGCTTCTGACAGAGAGTACATTACAGACCTGCTTCTGACAGAAAGTACATTACAGACCTGCTTCTGACAGAGAGGACAATACAGACCTGCTTCTGACAGAAAGTACATTACAGACCTGCTTCTGACAGAGAGTACATTACAGACCTGCTTCTGACACAAAGTACATTACAGACCTGCTTCTGACACAAAGTACATTACAGACCTGCTTCTGACACAAAGTACATTACAGTCCTGCTTCTGACACAAAGTACATTACAGACCTGCTTCTGACACAAAGTACATTACAGATCTGCTTCTGACACAAAGTACATTACAGACCTGCTTCTGACAGAGAGTACATTACAGACCTGCTTCTGACACAAAGTACATTACAGACCTGCTTCTGACAGAGAGTACATTACAGACCTGCTTCTGACAGAAAGTACATTACAGACCTGCTTCTGACACAAAGTACATTACAGACCTGCTTCTGACACAAAGTACATTACAGACCTGCTTCTGACAGAAAGTACATTACAGACCTGCTTCTGACACAAAGTACATTACAGACCTGCTTCTGACAGAGAGTACACTACAGACCTGCTTCTGACAGAGTACATTACAGACCTGCTTCTGACAGAAAGTACATTACAGACCTGCTTCTGACACAAAGTACATTACAGACCTGCTTCTGACAGAAAGTACATTACAGACCTGCTTCTGACACAAAGTACATTACAGACCTGCTTTTGACACAAAGTACATTACAGACCCAATTTTGATAAACAATTTACTTACTGAATCAACATATTTTAGCTTTTCAACAAATATTTATGGAAATATGAAGACAACAAATTTTACTTATAATTTGCCCGAGTGCTTTTTGTATGTGTTTTGTATGTTTGAAGTAAAATAGATGTATTTATGTTACAGTACAAGATCTTGCTCTACTCAGTAGATGGGCGTTGTTTGGCTAAGTACAGTGCCTATGATAATTCCTTGGGCATCAAAAGCGTGGCATGGAGCCCTACAAGTCAATTCTTGGCGATCGGCAGCTATGATGAAAAGGTATGCTAACTCTGTGTTACTAGGCATTTAAGTCTTGCTTTATATTCACGCTAATAGAACCTAGAAAAAAACCTTGTTTTCAGATGTCTATTTTAGGTTCCATTAACGAGTCCCATTCAAAATTATTTTGTATCTTTCGGACAAAACTTGAATTTTTCTTGCAATTTACGACTTAAATTTCTTTCCCCATTCATGAATTTTATTTCCTAAATGAGGCAAAAATGCAAGATCACAAACAAGTAAAAAATTGCCCAATGTTAATGTGATATATTTCATACTTTACTGGTCTATTTCTACTGTACAGTAATTGAATTCACGATAAAACAAAGCATATCAAGTCTTACATCCCTGCTGTTAAAACTGAAAGGCAGTTTCATTTTAGAATTATATAAAAAATTATCAGTATCTTAAAATCTTTTCAGAAGAAGTATGTGGAATTAAATAATAAGGCTTGAAATGAGACATACCTTGAGTAGCATGGTATTTTGACGACACGTGGTATATTGGCTATATAAGCCTGAGAATCCAACACAACACAGTTATCTTTGTTGTGTGATGTATACCGAGAATTGAGGGTTACATGTCGTTAAACTGTGGACCTGTCACATCCCTGGGAGTTTCAAGCCCCAGGGCTGATAATGACACGGCACAAACCCCTTAGGGTCAGTGTGGGCTCTGTGGCTAGCTGATAATGATTGCGATCTCATGGATTCGGAGGACAAGCACTGATAATGTTAAATGTAACATATAGATTGAGTTAAATGTGATGTACTACATTATTTATTTAGGTAAACAAAAGGATTGGTTTAGGTTAAGAATCAGAAAATGAAAAGGAAGTGTACTATTCTACTTTGAAATGATGTAAATTTCGAAAAGGGATGTTTGCCTAACGTGTATGTTAATTGAGGTCATATCAGTTAATCAAATTATGTGATACATAATTATTTTAAGTGCAGATGATATTTTGATATTATTTACATATATTGTATATTTGTTTTCTATGGTGGTACATTTAGGACATAAATATTATTATTACCTGTACTAGTTACCTGAAGCATTCAACATCACTTCTCAAACACTCTACATATTTTCTGGAGCACACAACAGAAAAGTGTGATACTTAAATGTAGTGTATAAATTTCAATACTGATTAATTCATTCATTGCACTATATATTAGTGTCATGCTTCTTTGTTCAACGCTCAAGAAAATGTATCAAGCTTTCAAGATATCAGTTTGGCCTTCCAGATAATATGTTGAGTGTTTGAGATAGTGAGTCATGCACTTTAAATAATATAACTAGCGCTCGAGATAACTAATACAGAAAATAATATTTTTCATCTCCTAAATGTACCACAGTAGTTTAATCTGACTGTGTGCGTCAGTCTTTGTTTTCTGGTTTGATTTCGAGTCTGTGTTAAATGGCCCCAGTCTGATCCAGATTCAGTGTAAAATGGCCCCAGTCTAGTCCAGATTCAGTGTTAAATGGCCCCAGTCTAGTCCAGATTCAGTGTTAAGTGGCCCCAGTCTAGTCCAGATTCAGTGTTAAGTGGCCCCAGTCTAGTCCAGATTCAGTGTTAAGTGGCCCCAGTCTAGTCCAGATTCAGTGTTAAGTGGCCCCAGTCCAGATTCAGTGTTAAGTGGCCCCAGTCTAGTCCAGATTCAGTGTTAAGTGGCCCCAGTCTAGTCCAGATTCAGTGTTAAATGGCCCCAGTCTAGTCCAGATTCAGTGTTAAATGGCCCCAGTCTAGTCCAGATTCAGTGTTAAGTGGCCCCAGTCTAGTCCAGATTCAGTGTTAAATGGCCCCAGTCTAGTCCAGATTCAGTGCTTTTAAAAGTTTATGTAATACTGTTAATGTAACCATCCAGCAAACATCCCCAGACAGAGACTTTTGATTCATGGTGTTAATTTACAAGCATATCAGATAAATCTAAAAGAAATTTTTACGTATCTAATGATCTAGATATATGATAAAAAACAAACATGTAAACATCACAGATAGTGTGTGTTTACAGCACTGTTGTCAACCTATCAGTGGTTGTCAGTAGGAGACAGATGTCGCTTCCCATCAGGTAACTTGTAGTAAGTCAACAGAACTTTCCACTTTGTACCTGGCTATCGTTTGATAACAGGGTCTTAAGGAATAATGTTATCTTGTTGACTTCTTGTTGATTTAATCTATATCCTGTTAAGAATGAAGAAATGATACACAAAAATGATGAACACCTTTCAATACAAATTAAGAATCAGAGACAGCAGAGTAAAATAAAGAATTAAACTGCATCATACAGCAGTTTCGTCCTTGATGTTAAGTGGTCAAAATTTTGAAATCAAGCTTGAAGGAACCATAGTACTGTATTGATAAATAACAACTTAAACTGCATCATACATCAGTTTAATCCTTCTAGGACTCATCATTGATGTTAAGTGGCCAAAATTTTTGAAACCTCAGATGACCTTATAAGCATAGAAATAATTATGCATTACCAAATATCAGAAAATTAGATGGAACACTTGATATTTTGTCAGGTGAAGAGATTAAAATTATAAGATCATTGATAAATTAGACCGTTATTAATTAAAAGTTATTAAATTACTAATGGGGCTGGTGGTATAGAAGGCCCCTCACGACTTTATATCTGTATCCCACTTTCTTCCATTACTTCATACTATATACTCCTATCATTTATCTGCTGAAACGCAGAAAGGCTGTAATAGTGGATGTGAAACATGTTAAATAAATAAATAGATAAATGAATAGATCATCAATTAGTGAAATATTTTTAGAGGGAATATTTTAATTTGTATAATATATTCTGTTGGCTTTGCTATTATATATCATTGCTAAAATACTTGTTCTTCAGTCTCTATATTATCATGTCGGCTAGTTTTCAGGTCAGTCACCTACCTGTACAATACCTGCAGTGACCATTTCTGATGCATATTTTCTAAATTTAGCTCCTAATTAAGTGCCAACATGGAAATGTTCCTGAACCATAAATCTGATGTTCAAGAGACATTTAAATTTGTGGCAAAGCTTTAATGTCTGTAGACTGTGACCAAGTTGTGGTCAACTTTATTTCATTGCCATTTAAAAATGATTGTCAGGAAATGCACTTTTAAGTAATCTATTTAATATACATTGTCAGGTAATTTCTAAAACCTGGAAAGCTAGGCCACAATCCACACAATCTAAGGTATATGAAGTACTTTCTCATTAACCAGCTAATGCTTTGTACCTAGCACTTTTCTCCCTGAGTTAATGATGTAAGATGGTAATGGACCAGGAGAAGTTTTACTTTCAGTTGTCTCGGCCCGAGTTTCTGCCGTCGTTACCAAACTTAACTTACGTCAGTGCTATTGTCAACAACACATAACAAATGCTTCATTGACTGACACCTGAATGCAGTGATAATTGTTGACACTCAGTTGATGTATGTAAGTTTTAGATTATTAAGGTGACACCTACAATTAATAAACGTTTATTGCCTATAAAAAAAACCATGGTCACAGTATTACTCTTAACAAGGTCTTAAAAAAAATTGATCTATTCCAAGTAAAGTATTTTCGCATGGAATTTGTGTCAGTGCTCTCTTGCATGTAAGCATTTTAAAGAAGATCCTTTAAGCTGAAATAAAAACCAACTCAGTAGCACATGAGTATAGATGAGGCTAGTACCTATGGTTAAGTTTACTTTCAAAACTTTTAAAATCATATTTAGCATCAAAAAATGAAAGTTTATATGTATCAGAACAGAGATGCACTAATAGGATTGGAAATGATTGTCTTTTCAAAATCAATGATAGGATGTAACCAATATGATCAATTCCCTGTCCAGCCTGGAGCTCTGTGATCTGGACTATTACACTTACTGAAAAATCATATATTTCTGTGGTGCTCAAATTTTATGGGTTTCCAAAAATGTACTTTTTTGTTGGTACTGGTGATTAATTTTGTGGTTAAATCTTGCTCACATAACCACAAGTATTTTATAATTCATATCAACTTTTATTTGTTCATGACTTTGTGGATATATATTTGATAGATAGATTTAGATACGGTACCATTGAATTCAATGAAAAGAATGCCTCCACAAATTTATATAATGTACTTATCTGGAGATCTTTATCAAAGCAAGATGTCTTTATCAAAGCAGGATGTCTTTATCAAAGCAAGATGTCTTTATCAAAACTGGATGTCTTTATCAAAGCAGGATGTCTTTATCAAAGCAAGATGTCTTTATCAAAGCAGGATGTCTTTATCAAAGTAGGATGTCTTTATCAAAGCAGGATGTCTTTATCAAAGCTGGATGTCTTTATCAAAGCTGGATGTCTTTATCAAAGCTGAATGTCATTATGAAAGCTGGATATCTGTATGAGAACTGGAGATCTTTATCAAAGCAAGATGTCTTTATGAAATCTGGATATCTTTATCAGAGCAAGATGTCTTTATGAAAGCTGGAGATCTTTATCAAAGCAAGATGTCTTTATGAAAGCTGGAGATCTTTATCAAAGCAAGATGTCTTTATGAAAGCTGGATATCTGTATGAGAACTGGAGATCTTTATCAAAGCAAGATGTCTTTATGAAAGCTGGATATCTGTATGAGAACTGGAGATCTTTATCAAAGCAAGATGTCTTTATGAAAGCTGGAGATCTTTATCAGAGCAAGATGTCTTTATGAAAGCTGGATATCTGTATGAGAACTGGAGATCTTTATCAAAGCAAGATGTCTTTATGAAAGCTGGATATCTGTATGAGAACTGGAGATCTTTATCAAAGCAAGATGTCTTTATGAAAGCTGGAGATCTTTATCAGAGCAAGATGTCTTTATCAAAATTGATATAATCCACAACAATGTAGTAAATCAGAGATATTACACAACTGATTAAGTTGTCAAGTGAGCATCCTTTAGATTGTCAGAAAGAATCACAGAAACAAGAAAGAAGGAAAAACAGGATGAAAGAACTGATTTTAAATACGAATGAAATGATATAAATGA